GCACTGCGGGCCCCTCGGCCGCCTGGCGCCGCGTTCACGCCTCGTCCGACGCGGACCGGCACGGCACGGCACGGCACCGCGCGTTTACTCCGCACGAACCAACCTTACTGCGCCGGGCGGGCACGCGCCTACGCGTGCGTGCAGGTACTGCGCAGTAAATACTCAGAGCGCCGGAGCGGGTGGGGTTCCCCCCCAGCAGCCGATCGCGGAGCTAGCTGGGAAACCGGAATGGCCCTGCCAAGGGGTGCACGGCCTATGCACCCCCTCTACAGCGCCAGCTTGAGCAGGCACTTGCTTGAGCATCACGCAGGTATCAAATCTACACCCTGTACATGAACACTGCATGCCCCGCGAGGCTGGTGGGGGCGGGGGGGGGGCCAGCCAGGGGAGAGGGTCACCCCCCCACATCCATCAGCAGCAGCCAGTGGTGATGGAGCAGCCCCCTAGATACTGACACTGCCAAGTGATAACTGTCCGCAGGCGCTTTTTGCAGGGAGCACACTTCCAAGCTCAAGGGGTGCACGTACGCTCCCTACACATCGCCAATGGCCCTACTGGTAACTGCGCAGTAACACGTGTAAACACCTTGCTGCACAGTAAGACTGTGCATGCATGGACTGACTTAAGACTAACTTTAGTCCCTAGTCAGTCCACACACAGCATCAATGAGGTTTAACGGCTGCCCGGCTGCTGTGCAGTAACTTTAAGCCAGCATAAATGCAAGCCTAGACATGTCCAGTAAGGAGTAGAATAAGACTGGTGCCTAGCTTCACTTTTCAAAACCACCAATACTAAAACACAGTGAGGTGAACAAGCAAGAGCTCTTAGGTAGTTCCTAGGGGTGTTTAAGGTTTATCGTCCACGTTCCAAGAGGCGTTGTAAGCAGAGGCTAGGTTCAAGGGATTTATTTCCTATTTCCACATTGCATGTGTAATTGAATTCTTTTAAACAGTTATCAGGTTTGCCGATACCCGTTTCCATTCATTGGGTAGTCGGTCGTGGGTTTCTGCAGCACCTACCTAGCTTCGAGTCCAGGCTGCCCACCGACTGCAAAGCACGACAAACCTCACGCTCGTCGTTGGAACATTCAGAACAATTTATTGAAGTCAACCTCAAGCAAAATTTTATATCAGTGGAATGTCATTAAAAACCTTTCCAAATTAATCCTCACGGAAGCAAAAACACATCTGAATTCCAAAGTATTTGTAAAATAAAAAAGGCAACATCTCAGTAAATATAATGTACAAAAATTATATGGTCCTACCATCACACACATTCAGTAAGAAGCTAAAATATTACAGGCAAGTCTAAATACACTATAACTAGTTGACAATAAGCTATCTATATACAAGTTAACCAAGCTTTACAGGTTTCACACTATGCAAGAGAACATAGGCCAAACAACAAAACCCCCCAAAATGTTGTATATCTCCAAGTCTATGCGGCAACATCAAGTCATAATACAGTAATGCCCTAGTGGAACATCCCCAGGGAAAATTAACACTACTCTGTTAGTGTCAAGAGCTTCTAGTCAAGTTCCAGAAACTCTTTTAAGATATTGACTTTAGTGAATAGTGATGTTTTACTATTAAAGACTCAAGTGATTTAGTTAAAATAACATTTCACAGAATCTACAAAGTTTGTTACAGAGAAACAAAGTCTACAGAAATAACGACTCTACAAAGGTCATTGTTACAGATAAAGATTACATGGAAATGAAAAAACGGAATCTGTAGGTATCTGTGTTTGTTGTGCAATATCACTTGTGTGGAAACAAATGGGTTTAATTTCTCATAGCAACCTCAAATATGCACATACCCTTATACAAAAAAGACAAATCTTATTACTAGCCAGTTATAATAGTTATTTATCATCTTGGTTTTCAGTGGCAACATGATCAGTTCTCTTAAAAATGAAAAAATATGACACTAGAATTAAGACACAGATCAATATTATGAACATGGAGTAAATATTTCATCCAGTCTGTAAATCAAAAAAAGTGAATGAGAACTCCTTAAAACGGTCCAGTGCTAGGCTATTTAGCAGATGTTTGGGAGAGGACAACACATAGCCTTCTTGTCTTTCCAAGCTGGAAGGAGACATCTTCGCAAATGGAAGCTCTCTCACTCATTCGCACAAATGCAATCAGTACCACATGAGAAACAGTAATGAATGGCTTTGGCAAATTCATACATAATTTTCCCTTTTTGTCTTCACATGAATTATGCAAAAGTCTCCTAAATGAAACCCAGATACATAATTTTAGTTTATGAATCTCTGCCGGGCCTCCGACCCTAAGAGCAGAGAGATACCCACTCAGGAATATAGGAAACAGCATTTTTTTTAATAAGAACATCTTGTATACATCCAAAGTTCCCAAGTGTATCGTAAGTGCAAACTTTTTGCTACACAAAAATAAATGGGGTGGGGTGGGGAAATGGATGTAATAATATTGAAAATAAAGGACATCAGTAAGTCAAAATGTTGCTGTGTCTCAAGCAATACACTTTTCTGTAAGAGCACACGTAAGTCTGAGACATCTGCTTTGAAAATCTCTCCCATTTGCCCTAGGTTCACTGTACACTGGGAGCGGAAAGTAATTTTAACTCAAGTTAAGAAAGGTAAAGAGACTTTCAATGTAGCATACAAAAATGTTATCTATGTATAAATAAAAAAAAGCTGTAAAATAAGGAACTGCAGAGCTTCAAGTACATTAAACCCTGAATTCAATGAGGCAGAGGTTTCAATGTTAAAGTGACTACTTCGTACCAGCCCCAGACATCCCTACCTCCCCTCCCGCCCCGCCTCCCTCACCCCACCCGGATATTTTTGTTAGGTTTCTTTATATACAGATTTTATGTTCACTATCAATTATGTCTAGTAATTTTGCCTTTCCAATTCCACCTGAAAACAAAAGGTAACTTGTTTTTAGTGGAAAGGCCACACAAAACATTATAACACCATCATACCAAGTTAACGGATTCTCTAAGACTGGTGGTAAAATGCAGAGAAGGTAACTTGCCCAGAAAACAGCTCTTACAGTTAGCTCTCCTGAGCTGCACGCGCCTTCCATTCCTGCATCCTGCTGGTAAGACAAGTCAGTATTACAGACTATCCAGAAGACAGCAGTAACCAGTTCTCACACCAGCTGACCCCAAAATTGTGGCGACTAAGCCTTACGGCTTTTGACCATGGTCTGCAGAGCCTCTGCTCTGGGTTAAAGGTGCATGCGCTTGTAGGGAGAGCTCCAGTAAATGCACAATCTTGGATTTGACGAGCCACTCAGGTATTGCATTCCTGTGCAAAAAGCACAATGATAAGATCCAGAGTCCGACGTTTACTAAAACCGTGACCCCATCTTAAAAGTTTAAGACAAATACAAAAAATCCAAAGGATGGAAAAAATGCGACTGGCGCTTCTTTCAAAATGAAGAGCTGCCCGAAAGTTATGTACAGTTGAGCAAAGTACTTTATTTGGCAGTCAGGAAGTAAAACCACTGACAGGTCTTTCCTCTGTGAAACCCGTCCTAGGATCATGCACAGAAATCCCAGACCCAAGAACTGTTTCTTGTTCTTTCTGCAGCGTCGGCAGCTCAAATCCCAGAGACTGGTAAATCAAGACATTAACATTTGTGCTAACTTTCTGATTTACTTTTAAAAAGTGTATGTTTTATTTATCTGCTTTAAAAAGACACGGCTAAAGTGTATATCTCAATATTTTCTGTGCATTTAGCATATAAAAACACCTACCCAGAACAATGAGAACCCCAGTTGTTATCACCAAGTTACTTCAACCAGATGTTCTCTTAGCTTCATTAAATGGTTAGAAGTTTCCCAACACCTTTGAAAAATTTGCCCTTTCCCCAATGGCTTGAAATCCAATGTCGCCCTGTCTTCTCATTCAGGTTTGAGCCCAGCCATTAGCTGCTTTTAAGCTACAATTTTCCTCGCAGAAAGGAAAACTACAGGAAGGACCTGCAAGAAGTCTGGAACAAACTGACTGAGAGATAAAGCAACAAGGTGGAGGAGCAACAATGGACTCCACAACCCCTGCAGCATTAAAGCATTTGCTAAACTTTCAGAGGACCTTCATGAACTCAATATTCAATATGCTGGTATGTCACAAAGTTGACATTTCACAAGGCAATCAATGTTTTGGAACTGCATTCAGCTGGCTGCCACTCTCAAGTGCTCAGCAAGGTATTTTGGCACCGTCTTTGCCATTTCACCCCAAACCACCACAAGACAGCATTGCTATACTATGGAAGAAAGCGCATTAGAACATTTTGCTATACAGTATTTGCAAAGTTCAGTGCACCATGGCTTACCATGCAAAGAATCATCGAAACGTTACCAAGCTGAACAGTTTACTATGTAAAGTAAACAGATCAGGCCTCGGAGACGCTGTCAAAAGGTAAGAGCTATGTTTTGAATTTCAGAAAAGGTGAAATCCTTCCTTAAGAGCTGAGGAGACATTTGTGTGTTTCTTAAATACATATTTTTTCAAAATACCAAAATATCGCACTGCTTACAAGCTAAATTAGTGTTTTAGACAATTTTTTTAGTATTGACCAAAATGTAATGAAGTGCTCTACGCTTTCCGTGAGCCCTTGGTACCGTAAACTGACCTGAGCGATCAAGAAAGATCGGTAGGATTACTCAACCAGAAAACCCAGAATGAGTTTATTAAAAAGGGATCTGGAAATTGTTCCAAGAAAATTAACTGCCAAGTCAGTTAAATGGCATTTCAGGTGCTTAAAAAACAAAACCCCAAACTGTAGTGTATTCTAATAATTGCACCAAAAAAAAAAAAAAATGAATAAAAAGCTACAAATTGGGGGGGGGATAAGGAGAGTTGAGAACAAGAAGGAAACCAGTTG